GTGCTGCACTCAGCCTGACACATGTTAGTGCTGGTGATAAAAAGGAACCAGCTCGATATGATTCTCTGCATTAAAACATTATCCACATTAATAAAAAGGAGCACACTGCCCGACTAAAGACCTCGACAGAAATCCTTTCCCGTGTCTATTTTTGGTCGATTGTCATAGTCTAGCCAGGTTAGTAACCATGGATATACTGGATGTAAGAATATAATTACAAAGAAGTAAACAAGACTGCGAATGAATGAATTTGTGTATCTTTGTCACACCGGTCCCGATGATAACAGCACCGTAGACCCAAAAACCAGAATCTGAGTAGCCTCCTGTGTTTTATGAGGGCTTTCAGAAGAAATATTGTGCACTGGTGAGCAGGCAACCATTGTATCTGAACAAGAGATGTGATGGCACCCTTAGCCGAAGAATTAGACGATTTAAATCGCACACATACACTCTGTCACACACGCACTGTTTGTCTCCCTGTGAGGCTGTCCTGCAGCCTGACAGCAGCAACGAGGGTGATAACGGCAGGCCAACACACACATTTTGTCATGGTAGATGGAGGCTGCTAATAAAACACACGCACTCACACATGCACTGAGGCTTACACACACTCACATGGTCACAGTGGATATACGGTTATTACCACACCACCAGGACCATTGCCCAGACCTGCCTGCCTTTGCCATCACAGATTACACCATAAACGTGTGTGGGAGTGCTTCTGGGTGTGTGTGTGTCTGCCATTTCTTGCTGGCCTGCCCGCTGCGATATCTCTTCCTCCGGGACACTCGTGCTGCACTTGCTCCCTACCCTCCAAAACCACCTGACCCTTTCCAACAACAGCAACGTCCTCCAAAGTGCTAACATTGTAATAACAGACAAGAGGCCCTCCATTCCCATAGAAAACCTGCACATCTTCATTCGTTGTATTAATTCCCTGTATTGTTGTCCTATTGAGACGATTGTATTGTGCTGCAGTATGTGCTCAGTGTGACCATGCCACTGATGATACCCAGGTTATTTGAATACCCAAAGTGTACATATGCCTATTGTTAATCAAATTATGAGACCGCAGCTACATTATTGTGTTGTTATGTCTGTGACATAATCCCTCCGCCCTTCTGCATTCCTCTGCGATTGAACTGGAAGCGTTTGTGTTTCGTTTTGTGTTTTTTCCCTCTTGTTTGGTGTAAATATTGCAAAATTGATGATGTTAAAATCAGTTTACCTGACACATTTTGTTTCCCTTTTTTCTTTCTCAGGGCCTTCTCCGGCAGACATGGTAGGTTTACTTGAAAGAAGTGACTTATGTAACACTTTCGTTTTTCCAGATTTAGCTGTTTATTAATGGTGATCTATTTTTATTCTCCACAGAGCGTGATGCTTTCGACACCCTGTTTGACCACGCCCCTGATAAGCTGAGTGTTGTGAAGAAGGTACTGAGGCTCTGCAGTAGCATTGTACTATGTGGGACTATGGAAGACTAATGTTTTACAAAAAAATCTAAATACAGTACTGTGCAAGTCTCGAGCCACCCATTTATTTTTTCTATTTTCCTGGCAAAATGGTGAAAAGGGCAGTCATTTATTTAAACATGCAAAACATTGATAGAAACACGGTAGATGAGGCAATAATTTTGTTTTATTATTATTTATTTTTTATTTTATTTTATTTTGTGCTTTTATTTTATTGTTCTTATTCTGCCATTGTTTTACTAAGTGTTTTATCCTATTGTAAAGTGTCCTTGGGTGACTTGAAAGGCGCTCATAAATAAAATTTATTATTATTATTATTATTATAACTGA